AGTGAGATAAATGTCAACTTGATGTATTCTTTGTTGTTATTGTTGTTTTAAAAAATATTATAGTAATTCATTGCAATATTTTTAACGTCGTTAATATTTCCATTATGGGCTATTTGTATACATTATTGCATTTGTGAGTAGAAGATGTTCAAATAATTTCTAGTGAAGTTTCTTGTCATTACAAAAGTTTTGGACGAAAATAAGCTAATGCGCATTTTTCTAAGCAACATTTTGTCATATATCACTAAATATTTCAATGAGAATTTTTTAAAAGATCTTTAATATTACTCTTTATATTATATTTCATTTTTATTATTAGGGGATCGAAAGAAAATAGAAAATGTGATAAAAAATACTTTTTGGGGGTGATAAATGGCACTAGGAGAAGGGTGGGCTAACCGAAAAGTTCCGACCAAAGAAAAATAAACTAGTTCAAGAATGTCTATGTAATGCTCTAGCACCACTAGTTTTTATTTATTTTATCCACTGTGCTAGTCCGAGTGTATCAAGCTATTGATAGTGCATCAAGCTACTAATATTGCTATTTAGAATGACCATCAGTAGGCGTGCACAGTACTATTCGCAGTGTGTGATGCGAATAGTGCAGCGCCAATGGGCTGTCCGTCGATAAACCCCCCTTGTTGCACGCTCCTTGTTTCCCCCTCCTAGTACCTCCCGGCGGTGACCGAAGTCCGACTGTGTGTGTGTGTTTCGAGCTTCAGCTTTCGCAAGGGATATTTGCGGTGGGCTAGCTTCCGAATGAAGCGTAATTTGAAATACCACAGTTTCGAAGTTTCTCATGACTTTCTTTTCTTGCTGAACTAGTGGTGATACCAACAGTACTTTCTCGCATATTTCTAGCTTTTACAAATTTTCAAAAATTCAGAGCTCAATGAAAATTATTCTTGCGGCATTTTTGAGGGTCCCTTGTTCTATTTGTGGGGAAAAATAATGAAAAAAAATTATGGGATATCTTATTGTAATATTTAGGAGGCGGATGTTAATTAAATGTCAATTTTTTGCTCTTCACTTCAGGACAATGCCGTTTAGTATATAAATTCAGTTGTGACAAAAGGAAATAAACCATTTCTATATATAATTTTTTTGTATTATTCGTCAAAATCAACTAATAGGTCATTTTTTAAATTTTTTGTGTCATTTTTAATTCATTTTTCGCTGATTTAATCGATTTTAATGACTTAGTTCAAACAGTATTTACGAGGTGCAACAAATGTTCACCACAGAATTTCAGAGAAGCTTGTTCGATTTCTTCGCTCATACATTGTAATGCCAGCCGTTGTGATTACTATGTAACGTGAGGTTCCTACGACACAGCGCCATTTTCAGTTCGGCCGATTTCGCGATAAAAGCAGAGATTTTCTTTTTGAGAACAGTCGAACCCAAAAGTTTGCGAGCAGAGTTGACTTGAACAAAAGGAAGAAGCTTAGACTACATCAGTAACATACCCGACAACTACTGCTGTTCATCTGAAGTGATTTTGATTAATTTGTTTATATAATTTTTCTATGTTTTTCGAAAAATTTTAAAGCATTTCAAGAGCATTTTATTAATCTATATGACAATGTTTTAGGTCATCAAAATCCACCCTCTAGTAATATACTTTGTTTGGCAAAACGTAAATAACATACTGGCGTGGGTGATCTGGGCTGTCCGGGTGACGCCGCGTCGAAGGCTGAGTTGCCGACGTTTCGACCATCCTGTCCTGGTCTTCCTCAGGGCTGGTATGCAAGCCTACGACTTCAACATACTGGCGTGTTTTGTTGCGATAGAAGTGGCGATTACAAGAAAATAACTTATGTCATTCATTCCTTTTATTTTCACTTATACAAGAGACTGGTAAGTCAGGAACGGCTATTCAATCCCTGACGGGATAATGATGAAGCAAGTTTCAAGACAGGAAGCACATAAGATCGAATATATAGACAGTAACCACACCGTTACGTATTTCTTTTCAGTAGATGCCATTTATTCTACATAGAATGTTTTCATAGCTTGTATACTTTATCACTGCTGCTGACTCAGTGTCGTTGCTCTACAATCAAACCAATCGTGGGGTTATATTTTCAATCAGTTTTAATATTCGGCATGTGTGTTTTAAAAAGATTGCGGCATCCATTTCAACTATAGCTTCGGTTTTTAATTGACGACCAAAAGAAATTAATTTAAAAATGTATAAGCTGGATAAAAATTCTGTAATAAATATTGGGCTCTAGAAAGAGATTCGTGTTTTACTTTTGCCTAGTCCAATTTCGCGTTCAAATATTCAAAGATCTTACACGAAAATGCTTTGCCGTAAATGGAATTTTCATCGCGTAATCTTAATTATGACACAGAAAAAGTTTCCCCGCATCTTCTAAGCTTCTTGACAAGTAATTACCCTTTTTTCATTAAAGAATATAATTTTAAAAATATTGCTTCGAGAATCATTCTCAGAAATTTCAATTACAGCGTCCATTCCTTTTGATGCTTTAGACAATAACATTACTCTCAGATCTAGAAATATCTCGTTCACATGTAATTTAATCCACACCGGCTTCGTTTTCAAGCTTACCTGTGTAATATGTGACATTTCTACACCTATGAACCCTACAAACGTAGCAAATGTAGAGGAATGTATATGCATTCATTACTCTTTTTTGAACGGATATTGGAATTGGTTGGATTTTGTCGTGCAGATTAAATGTAAAAGCAGTCTCAGGAAAAACCTACCATATTCAGAATGACTTATTGAAAGGGTTATTCGTGTAGTGTAATATGCCGTATTCTAACCAAACAATGAAATTGATTCAGATAGTAATCTAAATTTTTTATCAAATTTATCATACCTTCTATTTATGTCTCACAATCGTGTTAATGTATTTTGGAAAACACCCAACAGTTCAATCGATGTAAAAATTCTGGTTTATGAAAATATTTACTTTCATAATTTTTATTTCAACTGAAATGTATACCTTTAGTAACTTACTATTTGTTTTTGAAATCTGGCAAGGTAAGTGGTCACTTCAGAAAGATTGGAACAGGTAGAGTTAAGAAATTGTTGGCTAATTTTGAGACAGTCGAATTCCTAAACTTAAATTGACAATTTCTGATCATACACAGAAAAAATGTAAATATTTGTTTTTATATTCAACCGAAATATATTTACTTTTGGATTACTCCTATCAGTGAGTTTCTTGGAAATAATTTCAATTACACTCTTGTTCAGTTATTATATAATTGTAGTTTTTTAAAATACAATTGTTATCAGTAAAATATTAACTATAGTACTGGAGTATAAATCTAAAAAAATACAATGGGTGATTAATCGCAGATTAAAAATGTAAAGCGAGACAGTTTCCTACCAGAGTGCACATTTGCATATCGATATTTTTAGAAAGACAATGCTGTGCGAGACTGCGGTAGTGACTCACACAAAAGGTGGTGTTTTCTCTGTGAATGAGTCATCTTTTGTGGTCCACACCAAAAAGGGCAAATGGGAAGGAAGTCAGGTTTTTTCAATGAGCTTACATGATAGTTTGCGAACAGCCACTTCGCCTCTCCGATACATTCAGTAAGGTGATACTCAGTGTTGCCAACCCTCCTTCATTTGCAAATTCAGTCCTCCATTCTTACGAATTATCTTTCATTTATGTCTGTTATTTTCCATACCAATCAAGTAAATGTAACATTACCTTCCCTTACGTGATATAACGATACTGTTTTTTGGGATATTGTTTGCTTAGGCATTAAGAGTGATCAATCAATAGTAGAGATCAAAAATGACAGAAAAAAACTTTTTAACAATGTGCATTTTAATGATTGTCACTATTACATTACTATAATGTAGATTGAGAAATAAAAATATTCAATGATAAATTTAAATGCTACAAATTTAACAAGTTTCATACATTACAGTTACGAATAAAATTCATTTAAAATATTCGTAAAAATATTTGATTTTTCCTTAACCCGCATAACTTTTCTCGTTCTACAACAATCAATATACATGTTATAGAGCCTTATTTCGTTCTTCTCGCTTCCAGTTTCCTTGATGAGGCAGTAACTTATTAACTTTTGAAGCTGAAAAAATCTGTTCAAATTCTGCAACTTGTTTGTGTGTGTGTGTTTCAAAAGGGTAAGTTTAGATAACATGGAGGTATCGATAGTTTGTTGTTCTTTTTGGGTATCGAAACCAAATGTCGCATCGAACGTAGTACCGCAACATATCCATACATCCGAAAACCGAAACCCTTGCTTGTTACACTGTCGCGTCGAATTTTAATTAGGCGTGCGGGACAGTGGGCGGTGTCTCCTCAAAGGGCCGCGGGGAGCGCCTCTTCCGAAATGGAGCGCGCGCGGCCCGGGCACAAAGAAGACCGCGGAACTATTGTTTAGCTAAATGCAGTGCCGGGCTCCTTAGAACAACCGAAACCCCTATCCGCAGTCCACGCGGAATGTCGGCGGCGGGCAGTGCGCCCTCCCCCCCCCCTCGCACCCCCCTGC